TAGCTGTAAGCCTGTAACCGAACCGTGGGTTAGGGTTTTGATGATTGGATATTTTCGTGAGATTGGAGACCGTTAGAACGGTAGTTAATCGTTAACGGCGGGTGGAGCGTTGTGTTGGTGAATCATGATGATAAGGATTTGGAGATACTAATGTAATATAAAAATGAATAAAATGGGAGTTTTATTCATTTGGATTTGATTCAAAGACAAGCAATTGTTATATAAAATTATTGTTGCTGGCCCGGATGTGTAATGATTGTGCTAAGCTTGTTGGTGCACGTCTAAAAAGCAATTATCATATGGATTAGGGAGGGAATTAATATTATCGCATATTATTAGCTTAAAGATCTAACTTGATATGATAAAAGGAAAATTATTATATGCGAAGGTAGTGGAATTTCAATCCGAGTCAAGACTATAGTATATTTCTCGTCTTTGTATCTTGATCGTAAATTTAGCCGTTCACTAACTTAATTCATGCTATTTATGAACCTAGTATTGTATAGATTTTGTCCAAGTCGAACTCTATTTTTCATGATTCTTCTTGTTTCATCTTGATTTTATCTTAAATTTGGAACGGTTTGGAGTATAAATGAATCAACATGAGTTGACTTAGATTCTTGATTTAACAAAAATCTCATTAGTAAAAGAACTGATCCATTATTCTTCGAATTGTCCCAAATTAAGATTCTCAATTTAACAAAGGCCTCAATACTAAAAGTACCAGACAAGGGAAGAATATGATAAATTTCCAATGTGTATGGTTAATACAACACTATCATAATATCTACTAGATAATTTAGGGCACTTGGAAAACAAGTTGCTCTTCTTTCAAGATACGTACCCTTTTTGGCTTGGAAACTGCACATGCCATACACTTCCTAGAAGAAGAAAAATGGCTGATTTGGACACCAGTTGAATAGGGTTCGATTCATGGATGTGGTTTACCCATCCAAATGGGGTACAACACATAGTGCCATAGTGGGGACAGTGCATGGCAGAAAGATCCAATGTCCGAGACTTAATGGTTGGTCTCAATTAGGTTTCTCTGTGTCGATATAGGCTCAATAGCTAAGTAGAAATCCCTTTTATGAGATGTCAAGATGACATTGTTTTAACTTATTGTGCGTTTTTTTAAATTTATCCACATTATCGTTGTACAATTAATTTAAAACATTACCATTTAACATATCTGTTTCATATAAGTCATTTATGTGCCACTATTGTCCACAAATGGAAAAATTCGTGGACATATTAAGTTTAACAGACAATGGCTAATGCCCTTCCTAGTAAGTTTCCTGGTCTGGTGCGCCCTAGGCCAGTTGGGCTCTTGTGTAGAAATCATGAACCAATTGCCAATTAGTCAAGTGGCCGTCGCATAGATGTAGCACCACTTCACCCCCTCAGCCTCTCAGTCGCAGGCCATCCCATCTTTCCATTACCCTAGAATGGAAGACACCAAATTCCATCATGCTCAGAGTATTAATTTCACATCGGGTATAAGATCTTGTGTATGCTTATAAATAGTTAAGTTATTGATTCTCATATTACCAATTGGTTTTATAGTTAAACCTCAACTTTCTTCACATCATCAATAGCAAAATAATTATATTGAATTAAGTTAGCGCCACATTCCTGAAAAATGGAACCATGTAAGTTCCATCCAACACATACAAATCAAACGAGACATATTTTTAATGCTATAAAAAAATTTGGCCGGACTGGAATTGGTGGGACGGGAAAATGGAGGATGATGAGATGGGATGGGATGGGACTGGATTATGTTTTGTGGGACTCGAAAATGAGTGTTACCATGTATGCCCTAACCCTAGAGAAGTAGCAATTGACCAGAGAAAAAAATAAAATAAAATAAATAAATAAACCCTAAAGAAGCAGCAGAGATGATACCACATGCGAGGGGCAGGAGGCCGGCATGAACCACAAGACACGCTTATGTGCGCGCGCACCAAATATTTTTTGACTCACCAAATATATTAATCAGTAAAATATTTATTAGTTAAGCAAAGAGCCAAAGAAGAAGTGTATTTATATTGACCAATATTTAGTATATGATTAAGATATAATACTTTATTATATGAAGCTTTTTTGTTGTTAAAATATGGTTTGCTTGCAGTTTGCCTAATCATGTGGGACTGGGATGCGGACGTGGGACGCTCATATCAACCAAAAACATTATCCCATATTTAAAGAGTTATATTAATTATGGAATTTCGGCGGCTTAATTGTTACATAACCCCGTCTGCCCGGAAACAAAAAAGTAGAATATTGCTACATTTCTCCGGCCAGCGAATGCTGCTAAATTAACTTGACTAATTTGATTAAAAAAACCTAATTAACAAATACAATGCATGGGGCACCACTTGTAAATCTTATGATTCATGACATGATTGATTATGGATCTCTGATTATGTTCATGCACGATTAGAATTGATGTGTTCAACAGTTTTTAAATTAGTTCATATCATACATTTTGTGAAGCAGTCCATGCTGTTTATATATTGAGGTGGGCATTATATAATGAAGATCATGCCAATGTTGTGGAGTTGGTTTAGTAGCATGTGCCGGCTCCAGGATCTAAACTTAGAGTGACCTGAACTTTGAAGCCAAAATCTAAGAACAAACATTTAATATCGTTGTTTAGAGAAAATTTGGGCATAAAAACCGGTAAGAAAAGAGATCGACATAAAAAGATTGATATCGGGGTTAGAAGAGACGAGACAAGTTTAATTAAGAGAGGAGGAGAGAGAGCGAAAGACTGAAAGAGGAAGTAAAGAGAAAAGTTGATGTCTTTACACGTTCAATGGGAATAATTTATTATATTTTAGGCTGAATCTGAATGGGTTGGATTTAAACGTGGCAAATCAATTATTGAGTTGCTAATTGGTATCCATTAATACTCTTTTAATTTAATATCATTATAATATAGAGATGAGATCGGTAGTGATGATGATTGTGTAAGATGAAATCAAACTAAATAAATCTTAATAAATACCCATTAACAACTTAATCCGTTGATTTGCCACCTCTAGTTGGATTGGTATAACTCATGTGGGCTAGATTGGCTAATGTTCCTAGGTTATTTCTCTTCGGCTCAAATTTCAGTTGGGCTACATCCTATCTTAGCCATCTGCATTTCAGTTGCACACGGTGATGCTAGAGATAACATATTTTTAGATCATTTTTTGTAAACTACATGATGTGCTCTACAAAAATGCTCTAAAATTTTGATTTCCCTAGTAAAATAATGGATGTATAAATGCTAACTATTACAAGAAAACGAAGATAAACAAACGACATACCAGTTATTGGTTCATTGTTCAATGTTTAAAAAAACACTGATGGAAAAAACGGTAAGATTTCAAACTTTCATAAGGAAATTAAATAAAGAAGGAGATATACGAAAAAAAAACATATAAAAAGGATCCACACTAGTGCGCTAGTGATCTTTTTGTTTGCTGACTCGTAATTTTCATTTATTTCTTCGTATCATTATCTGACAAGTTGTGTAAAAATATTTTTTTATTAACGATAGCGTTAATGAGTTAAATAGTTAGTTTTTAAGAGTGAAGAAGTCGGTGAGGATTGAACCGCATTATGATGCATAAACATAATTGTTTTCTGCCACTACAATAAAACATCATCTGTTGTAAATATGCTATCTTTACAACAATCAAATTAGAAGATGGATAATTAGAAATTGAGGAAATAGAAAGAAGTATACTACATTTGCCAACTTAACTAAGCTCAAACATAAGCAAAATATTAGTTCCGAAAGGTTAAAAGTAAAATCACTTATTGCAAAAAAAAAAAAATGGAGCAATTAAACTTGCTCCGAGTATTTTTTAGTACAATGTATGTGAATTTCCATGTCGTATACAAGGACGTATATGTGCAATGTATTTTCATATTACTCAATTCCTCTAAACATTAGGCTTATTTATTGATTTGTCCACTGAAAATTGCAATTTAGTCTCGTTCACTTACCAAATCTGATTTTGTTTCACTTTGTCATTTTCGTCTATTTTGTCAAATAAACGTTACATCCAATGATACAACTCTTCTCCAAGGTTACGACGAATTGTCATCATCGCCAAGAAGATTAGCTACCATCTGAACTCAAGGGCTTGATTTACAAGCCTTAATTCCTTTCTCATTTTTCACTTAACCCTAATTTATTTTCCTACATTTCTCGCCATTATTCACATTCGGCTTGGTAAATATGTGGTGAAGAACCAAAATTCTCACAAAAGTGTCACGTCACAAAGCATGTGATATATCCCTGTTTGTGTGAAAAATAAAATGCACATACTATCATTTCATTCAACGTTTGTTTAACATAATGGACGAAAATATAATGAACTGAGACTACGCACGACAAAAATGACCATTTCAAAAGACAAAATTAAACAAAAATAACTTTAAATAAGTAAAATGAGATTAAATGATAACTTCAAGAGACTAACCAATTAATAAGCCTTAAGCATTAATTAAGAGTCACAAACATCGATGACAGTTGGGTGACGATTTTGTCCCATGGCCAACCCCAAGAGCCAAGTGAAAAAATAAAAAGTTTCCAATCAGAAAAGTAAAACAAATAAAAAAAAGATTCAGATTCAGATTCCCGGATAATTGACCGTTTCACTAAGCAAGAATAAAAAAGTTAAATAAATAACATTAATTGTTGAAAAAAAAAAACAACATTAATTAGTGGGCATTAATTAAAAAGTAGGTTATAAAAACTTGGCAAAAAAATGACCCAAACGCTGCGTTTTGAGGCGATAGGGACAAACCGTTAGAAAACGTGGTTCGTCGTTGACTGCAACCCCATTGGTTCACTTGGTCCGCTCCACAAACGCCGGAGTTGGAGTTCATGATCCTTGTTTTACCTTTATACCGTTTACCGGACCTCGACTTCCCAAATCAACCCACTGCGCATTTTAGCGCCCCGACACGTCACCTGCCGCGCAAAGTGGGAGGTCGTTGCTAAAGTGCGCGGGTGCGGTAGTTCATAAGATTCAAAGATTCAGAGCCCCAGAGAGGGAGCCCCCCCCCAACCCACCCACCACCCCAACTCTGTATTTTTCGGAAACTTTATTTTTAAGTCCCCCATTTTTAGAGAGAGAAAGTGAATTCAGAAAGCTACAGAGAGAGAGAGAGAGAGAGAGAGAGAGAGAGAGAGAGAGAGCTGTGTGAGAGTGTTGAGTGGTACTTTTTGGACTTGCAGGTTTTTGGAGTAGTGTGTCGGGGGTGTCTGATTTCGGAGAGTGTTTTAATGGGTTGGTTTTTTAAATTCTGAATTTTGGTTTTTTTTTATTTTTATTTTTAAGGTAGGGAGTTATTATAGTTATTTGTTTCCTATGTGAGAGAGATAAGAACAGGAAAGCCTAAGATTCTAAGATCTTCTTTCTGTATATATAGTTATATACACACATATACACCCTCCACTTCTCCCTCACTCTCCTCCTCTCTCTCTTTCTCTCTCTAGCCTTTGTTCTTCCTTTGTTTTCAGACAGCCGAGAAAAAAAGGAACAAGCTTTTTGGTGTTGGAGATCACCAATCCTCAGCAAAACCGAAATGGGTATGTGCTGTTGTTAACGTTTCGGTTCTCGCGTGTTCTGTTCTTTGATTTCTGTTGTCTGCCTCCTTCCCCGTGATTATATTTTCTCTGTAATCCCAATTGGAAGACTGGAAAATCATGTTTTTTTTTTTTAATTTCTCTTATTTTTTTGGGTTTACTAGTATTAAATTTTTTTTTTCCGATTGGTTACAATGGTTCTGTTCGTCTCTCCAATTGGTTTTTTTTTCCTATTCCCTCCAACCATTTTGTCTAATTTTATTTTTCATTTTTTTGGATGGCTTTCTGCAGAAGTTAGCATGAGCTTTTCACATGACATGGATGACGAGTACGGGAAGCTCATCCGGCGAATGAACCCACCAAGGTATATGCAAAAAATCACACCTCAAGTTCCTCAAATATTCACCCTATCTCTTCTTGAGATTTACGCCTCTTCGTTTGATGTTGTTTTGTCTCAGGGTTGTAATCGATAACGAAGCCTGCAAGAATGCAACGGTGATAAGGGTACGTCTGCCTTCTGTTTGATTTCTTATCTTGTTACGTGTCTTTTTGGGTGTCATTGTGATGGAAGTTTTGGTGCTTAATCTGTTACTTTGGACGCAGGTGGACAGTGCAAACAAATATGGAATCCTTTTGGAAGTTGTACAAGTACTTACTGATCTTAACCTTATCGTGACGAAAGCCTACATATCTTCGGATGGCGGCTGGTTCATGGATGGTAAAAATGCTCTTACAATCTTGTCATCACTGTAAAAAGTGTGTCCTTTTTTGTTCGAGGTAGAAATTGATTCTGTGATTTGTTGTGTAATCAGTTTTTAATGTCACTGATCACGATGGAAACAAGGTTACAGATGAAGAAGTTTTGGATTATATTCAAAAGGTAATTTGTGTTTGACATTTGTTTTCGCTGTTTCTGCTGGCGATTGATGTGAAATGATCCTAATTCTCACTGGATTTTCAGTCTCTTGGTCCAGAGGCATGCTTTGCATCTTCAATGAGATCTGTTGGTGTGAAACAATCAATGGACAGTACTGTAATTGAGCTAACTGGAAGCGACAGACCGGGATTACTCTCCGAAGTGAGCGCTGTCCTCACCAATCACAAATGCAATGTAGTGAGTGCCGAAGTCTGGACGCACAACACAAGGGCTGCATCGGTGATGCATGTCACTGATGAGGAGACGGGGTTGGCAATTACCGACCCTCAGAGGTTAGCTAGGATTAAGGAATTACTCTGCAATGTGCTAAAGGGCAGCAACAAAGCCAGAGGAGCTAGGACTGTTGTCTCTCACGCTGTTACGCACACTGAGAGGAGGCTTCACCAAATGATGTTTGCAGATAGGGATTACGAACGAGTTCATGATGGTGTCTTGGATGACAAGCAAAGACCGGATGTGAGTGTTGTTAATTGGCATGACAAAGACTACTCGGTGGTCACGATTCGGAGCAAAGACAGGCCCAAGCTTCTCTTCGACACGGTTTGCACTTTGACAGACATGCAGTATGTGATTTTTCATGCTAGTATTGACGCTGAGGGTCCGGAAGCTTATCAGGTTTGCGATTTTTGCTTTTTCAACTTGAATATGATCGTGTTCTTGGGACGTGCCAATTAACTTGCCTAATTACTGTTTATGGTTTCGGTCGTAGGAATACTATATCAGGCATGTAGATGGATCTCCTGTGAAATCAGATGCAGAGAGACAAAGAGTGATACAATGCCTCGAGGCGGCTATTGAGAGAAGAGTATCTGAGGTTAGTTGGACTATTTTATTTCAAAGTTTTTGCTTGTCTCCTTGTTTTTTTGGCTGGAAAGTACACATTTGAGGTTTTTAATATCTCCAATTGGCAATTCATGACAAGGAGCGATATAAATTTTGATTTTCTTATGTTGTAACCTAGTCATTGTACTCGTTTAATTTCGAGTCAAACTGTAGTTTTAAATCCATGGATGTCGACCTTTTTGTCTCGTTATGTTCCATTGCACTCCGTTTGATTCTTTCATGGACAACTAATCTTTGTTTCTTCCTTGTTCAGGGCTTGAAGCTAGAACTCTGCACTACTGACAGAGTAGGGCTGTTATCTGATGTCACTCGGATCTTTCGAGAGAACAGCCTCACCGTAACAAGAGCAGAAGTTGCAACCAAAGCAGGCAAAGCTGTGAATACATTCTATGTTCGCGATGCATCAGGCTATCCGGTTGACTCCAAGACCATAGAGTCCATCCGGCAAGTAATCGGGCAGACGATACTCAAAGTAAAAGGCAACCCTGAGGACACAAAACCTGGTTCTGAGGAATCTCCAACAAGGTTCCTCTTTGGTGGTCTCTTCAAGTCCAGATCTTTCGTCAACTTCAAGCTGATCCGGTCGTATTCTTGAGACATCGGTCGAGTCTTGTACATAAGAACCCGTCTTAGTCGAAAACTTCACCAAATTAACCATTTTAGTGGTTTAATTATTGACTTACGTTTAGGAAAACAAAAGCAGCCATTATTGAAGGAAAAGCCATAGAAGTCTGAAGTGCTTGTAAATATCTCATCTTTTCAGCTTCTGCTTTTAGCCTTCATCTGTTGCTGTGATCCAACCTCACGTTGGATCATGAAAGCAAAGAAGGATAATCTGATTTGTGTGATGCCGGAGAAAGTCAGTTTTAGTGTTTTAAGCTCTGTACCTAATATTTCTCTATTCGATGTTACGGTAGCTTTTATATTTACCATCAACCTCTATTTTATTGGGTTTTTTACATAATGGTTAATCTAAATGACTTTTATCAATTAAGAAAGAACTTTGAATTTTGGTGCAAAAAGACGGATACGCTGTCATAAAAAAATGGCATAGTTCAAGTCTGACACATTTTCTCTGCTTGGGATGATTGCAACAAAGTTTGGTGTCGAGGGTGCCAAACGTTGACATCTCAATTCCCAATTGGACGGGAGTTTTCCAACTTAGTTTATGCATTCAATCATCATCAGATGGAGACGGGCACTTATTCACATTGGTGGATTTGAATCTTTGTTGGTAAAACTTTGCAGACAAGTCCAAAATTAAGGGTAGAATTGAAAGAAAAAGATGTATATTCTATGAACTTCACGTTTTCATCGAATTGGTATTGGCTGGACCCATTTGTGGTTGGAACTTGGAATCCTTGTAGTCCAATCCAAATCAATTTTTTGAACATTCCCTTTTGACCAAATGCTGAGCACAAAAAGCACAAAAAGCAGCCCCAAAAAAATCCCAACAAATATATGGAAAAAGGAAACAAAAGGCAGGAGGAAATGCGCCATCTTTTGAAAATTTGTTGGCTACTTTCTAGCCAATTTCTATAATCTTGCTCATTGTCTTTGTGTTTGCCACCAACATTATTGGCTGGTGTGCAAACATCATGCAGGGCGTAACCACTTTTAGCTTATCTGATCAAAGGAGAAATCCAGATGGGATAAGTAGTCTTTTTGACCAAAAAAAAGATGGATAATTACGCAAAAGTAGTAAGATAATTGGTATTTTATTAATAAATAATGTATATTGTTGTGCTTAATTATTTCTAATTTGATTTTGTTGACTGACTTTGATTGTCATTGTCAATCTAATTCTTGGTCTTTAAGGTGCTGCGGTTTTTTTTTATTTTATGAAAAGTACGATACTCATAGAAATGTTGATAAATCGTAACCTTGCTGGAACTTTCAAACTGAACCCAAGGAAAAAAGGGTCACCGCAGAGTAGAAAGAAATGTAATCATTTAATAGAACTATCCTCAATCAAAATGTTTGCTACCATATCTGATGGTTCCTCAAACCAAGTTACCTCGTGTTTTTTGTCTTTATGGTATTGCGTATTTATTTGATTGATTTTGATAATATAATATATAATGTGAAAAGGAGACAATACTATAAATTATGATTTTATTTTAGAACCCAATTTATTCACATCGGAGAAATAATATATGGTTTAAGATATATTAGGTATTAGTAGAAAACTCTACCCACAAACTCTTAACATATTATCGAGTCACTGAAAATGGTCGCCATTGGTCCAGCATCGATGGAGTGAGCTAAAGAGAGCGTTGAGTAGAGCAAGTTTTAACCACGAGCTCTTAATAAAATCATGTTTTGGGATATGATTTTAATAAATTTGGGATCATGTGGAAAAGTAAATTCACTTGCTTTCCAAAATATGCGCACAATACGGAAGCGAGAACAAATCATACAAGGATTAAGTGCCCTGCTTCATTCGCAGCACCGCACTGCAATTATTTTGCATTTCCTTTCCATGCTATATGTGCCCCCTTTTTTATTCACCAATGTGCTTCTCTGTTTCTTGAAGTCCAACACATATTCAATTACCACTCCCTTCCCTTCCATTTCCCTTTGTCTTTATATATTTTTTAACTGTGATATATTTTACATATATACATGCATCTTGCAAGACAAAGAAACAGATGCCCTACTGCTTCTTCTGTCTTGTGCTCGGATCAGTCAACAGTCGACTACCCTAACATGTCGACTGTATTGTGCAATTTGTTATCTTCCTTTAAAAATATCAGGATTTGCATTAGGGATACGATCTACTTACGTACGGAGTTTGTAAAAGAAAATTTGGATTTTGGTTCACAGAAAAAAGTCTAAAAATTACCCTATGGTTAATTTGATCAGCTAGGTTGGCATGACAATCATTGTATAACTACGACCATAAAAATCTAGATAAAATATGAATTTCCCAGTGATTGTTTGAACCACAAATCGATGGTGAAATTCATCTGCAAACCTTGAGATATTATATTTATTTTTGGTTGAATTAAAATTAAAAAAAACCCAGATCACATGACCCAATATGTTTTAAAATTCACTACAAGTATCATGTGCTCCGAAATTTCTGTCACTGAAACTTATGGGCTCTTGAAGGTGTGCAGTTATTCCTCCTCACATGACAGAAAGTGGGGCATTGGATGATTTTGGCAAATTTCAAGTTTTCTTAGAACCAAAGCAACCGAGCAAAACCTCCCCTCACATGAATGCCTCAGTTTCAGCTGACCATTTCATATTTTATTACGTGCATCCATTCAACAATGCAGCAACTTTGGTGCTAATCATCATGCACCAATTGCACATGATGTCCCATTATCTAGCAATATTTAGCAACCCAGTTTTGGGGCCCTCTTTGGTAATTAGATGGACCAATCAATGTCTGCCAAATGACACACCTAGCTTTTTTATGTTCAAAGAGACCGACGACTGACTCACTACTAATCAACACCGATATTGTTCAGTTGTTCATCAGTTAGGGATGAGTTTCATTCAAACCCAATATATAGAATACAACATACTAGATAAAGACCCATTTGTGATCAATCAATCAGACCACTCGGATACAATATCGGAGATTTCAAAGAGACATATCAATGACCGACTACTAATGAACAACATCATTGGTCCAAACTTGCACTTAAACACCTACTAACCCATGGGTGAAGTTTTTATCACAAAATACACTAGTACAATAAGTAATGAACATTTGTTATCATAATTTATTTCGTCAAGTTTCTAACATGAAATTCTTGATATTCTTCAACATCTTATCAGTCTTTCAAAGTCCCACATGATTATCAATGACCTTGTGATCTAGTGGCACTTAATCTCCGCTATATTATAAGAGACTTTGAATTTACATGTTATGGATGGAGATTGTTGAACATAAAAAAAGTCCTCCATAGCTGGTTTATGATAACCTTATAAGGTGCGGCATTTATGATTCCTATATAAACTAAATTAAACAGTGCTTAAGTTTTATATAGACATCCAAATTAATGACTCAAGAATAGAGGCAAGAAAACACAATGGAGGACACTGCTGGTGCAGAGTTTCCAGGCTTCCAAGCTTGTACTCACAAAGATGACAACAATGTGTTCAGAAGGCATTTGAGCCGGCTGCAACAACGAGCTGTCCTCTTCAGCTGAACCCTAATAACGCCGCCTTTTCTAGTTGCGGTTGTTCGTTCCCTAAATTTGCCATGGGCCTCGCGGGCATACCGGGAATTTACTCAAACATGAGATTGGTGAGCGCAGGCGTGCCACTGCTAGATGCCGTTAGTAGACGGGTTTTGAATGATTGAAGTTGTGCCTGAGATTGACTTCGAACCAAGAGATTGTGTCATTGAGTCGGAGTGGCTCAAATTAAGGTTCTTAGTTTGCCTTAAAGATAAGAACTTTACTTATATGGAGAGATGGAACAATATGTAAATGGCAAGGGAAAGTGAATGACTAATATTGCAAATTGCTTGTAGATTAAATGACTGGAAATGAGTTGTACATAAAGACTACAAATGAGATAGATACTACTGGTGAGCAGAGTTATTAAACTAGACAAAAGATGGCTTTTGTGAGGGCTGATCCTGAAAATGATTGAGGTTGGGGGCTCACTACAGCTTTGTATGCAAATCTGGTTTGAGCATAGTTTGTGTATTTGTTTGTTTGATTGGTTGAGTGTGTTTAATCCTTCCACTTGCAGCCGAACATCTCTCCAAGTTTAATGTTTTGTCTCATTATCCTCCAAATGCCATATTTTACCCAAATGACCCAAATAAGTGAAATGGTGCACATTTTAGATGCAAACATCGGTGGTATGCAAAACTCCGTGAGCAGTTCGAATTCTTCTTTGTTAAGTTCGTTCTTTCAGGTACCGTTTGGTACGTGAGACGGGATGGAACGGAGTGGGACAAGGCGTTCCCTCTCGCGTTTGGTGCGCTTAAAACGGGTGGAACGCGCTGTTCCACGGAACGAATTTTGGGTGAATTTTCGTTCCGCCTCATCCCCTGGAACGACTTGTTCCACATCCGTGGAACACAAAATTATAACCTCTCCGTCTCCTTCTTCTTCCTCGTTTCCAACCGAGGGCATCTTTCCTCCCTCTCCGTTCCGTCCCGTCCCGTCTGCATACCAAACGATACCTCAGAGCAAAGATCCCATTCCACTATTTTCTCCTCTGGTGTTGTTGCCTTGATTGGTGCCAGAAAAACTTGCTGAATTTTAGAAGGTTTATGTGCCGAGGGATGCGAATAGCATGGCTCATCGCTTAGCTCGATATAGTTTACATTGTCGGATTTTATCCATCTCGGTTGAAACGGGTTACACCATGGTTGTTGCAATGTATTCAAGCTGAATCTATAATAGAGGATTAAGTGTAATTTGCATGTACGACCTCTTTTTTTCTTAGCCGATTTTTCTCATTGGGTTTTACTCGGTTAAGATTTTTTCAGAGGCCTTCTCTTTCACATGCCGATGATAATATGTTTTCCATTAATATTGATGAATGAAATCTTTTTTACCCTAAAAAAATTACTTTGGCAAAGTTTATGTTATCTCCTGTATGTTATATATATGTGTCCATCCATGTGCTTTGTAGACGAGTACATTTTCTATTTAAGTTGTGATCGAAGAAAAATATTTGTAGCTCATGTAATTAAGAATAGTTTTCTTTGCGACTAAAGTGGTGGTTTCAAATCACGCCTAAAACAAAGAAAAATTAACTTGTGATCGAGAAATCAAATATGGTTCATGACTCTAGTGATTCGAGAAGCGCTGTTGATCTATATTCATTTGCAGTTGGAAGTACAAAAATATAATAATATTCATTTGCAGATAGGCCTCTTTGAAATAAAATAAAATTGCAAATAGGCCCAACTCCAAAGTGTTGTAATTTATAAGCCCAATAGTGTCGTAATAGGTTCCTTGAGA